ATCTGCCACTGTGTCTGGAACACCTGCAGACACACTTCATCCTAGTTGCAGAACTCAGTCCCATTTACAAAACAGTAAGTGGGAATTACGGGAAGCGAACTCAAACATTGTTTCAAGACAACTAAATTTAAAACCTGGAGTGGTGGAGCAAGCATGTAATCTCAAGCATTCACTCATAATTCCAGCACTCACTCAAAAGGCAAGGGCAAGAGGGTTTCCATAAGTTTAAAGCCAGCCTGTTCTAGACAGCCAATTCAAGAACAGTCAGTCTGGGCTATATAGTGAAATTCTATCTCAGAAAATAAAACATCAAATTAAAGCCAAAAACCCCTTTGTTTGTAAAATAGAGAACTAAGTTTTAGGACTTGAAGAGGGTTTGGCAGTTAAGAGCTGAATTTGGTTCCTAGTACCAGCAGTGGGAGGTTCACAACCATCTGCAACTCTAGCTCCAGGGGATCTGCTGCACTCTCCTGGCCTTGGTGGACACCTTCACGCATGTGCATATACACACATATAAATACAAATAAAATCTTACAAGCAAAAAACAAAACTAGGTTTTAGGAGCTGAGAGTGTAGTTCAATTGGTAGAATGCTTGCCTAACATGTATGAAGTCTTAGATTCAATCCCCAGTGATGCAGAAAACCATGCATGATGGAGTACTCTTTTAACCCTAGCTTTCAGGAGGTGAAGGCAGGAAAAACAGAAATTGGCTAGCTTGGGCTACATGAGACCCTGTCCCAAACAAAATAACAAATAAATAATTTTAGTTTTCTTCCTGCCCCAAACTAGAATTTAAAAAAAGAATTGTGTTAGTATTAAAATATTACAGAGATTGGATTTTGAAACAAGTTTGTTTTTTCTTTGTTTGGCCATACTGCTGTCTGTCCTGCCCATTTAAAAACTGGACTTTGAAGATAACCCTCAACAAGTGGGTATTAAAGTGAATGTTCTGCCATGACCTAATTTGTTTTGAGTTCTGTGCCTCTCAGCAAATATCTGGTACATAGTATCAAGCACTAGCCTAGGAGTTGAGCAGTACAAATGGGGCATGGTCTTTGCTGTCTAGCCATGTCCTGGAGAGACATGGGAGTGCTTATATGGAATAGCACATAATTCGGGAAATGCTTCAATGGTGTTTGTGCAGCGGCTAATAAAAAGCTCAGCCAGGAAAGAGGCTCTAAGAGCGCTGGGGTGTGGTGGGTCATTTCGGGGCGGGGGTGGGAGTGGGGGAAGTGAAGGGACAGGTGCCAACCAGACAAAGAGGGGAAAGGGTGTTTCACATAGCAGAAATGGCTTGAGCAAAGGCAAGGATTGGCAAACAGCTGGGAAGTGGTTTTGTGTTGTCAGTGGGCCAGTTGCAACAGGAGAGTGAGTGAAAAATGGGAAGCTTATCACAGATAGTGCTGGGATTTTCTTGCTGAAAATTGCTTTTTGCCACCTAGGCAGGGTAGAATCTTCAAAAAGAGGAGGTAGGATTGGATCTACCTTTGGGCGCCGGGCTGTAGAGTGTAGAGAGGGAATAGAATAGAGCTGCCTTGCAATTGGGCTGTTTTGGTTTGAAACTCTGTTACCATTCACTAGGCACTTTGGGAGTTCGTTATTGTTTGTTTTGAACTTAACCTGACCTGAGTTCAGTGGTCAGACCCATGTAAAAAGCCAGATTTGGCCAGTTAGCCTGGAAAAACAGCACAGTGGCAGACGAGAAATGTTGTCTGCAAGGTGGAAGGAGAGAAATGGTTTCCAAAAAGTTGTTTATTAACCTCCGCTGCATTCTTACCACGCCACGTGCACACACACTCCTAATTAGTTAGTTGATTAATTAGTTTTTTTCAGCATTGAAAGTAGTGAGGAGTAGCTAACACACATTGTAGTTTGTGTGCGTGTGTGCACGCAGGTGCATGAATTTCAGAGACTGCATTTCATTTTAATTAGATGTTTGCTCATAATTTGGGTGGTATCATAGGTTGGGTTCTTTGGAAGCTGAGGTATCAATTATCACAAGACACACCTATGGAGAGTAGGGGCAGGACACAGGATTGGGAAGAGGGAGGGGTGAGGGGCACTGACATGTCTGCCTGCTACTCAGGGCGCTTTGGAGAGTTGGGGAGTAGACTCGGGGCTTTCCATCATTCCCCTCCTGTCATTGTCAAGTAATTGGTTTCTGGTGGCCCCTACCCCGATGGTAAGCAGGTCCCGGGGCAGGGTAGTGTTCTGTAGTTATGAGCCTGTGGGCCTTCTTTTGGGAGTACTGCCAGCCACTGGGGCAATGAGTTCTTCATTCCTAATGAGATGCCTGGTCCAGGCATGGCAGTGTACATCACAGAAGGAAAATTGCAAAGCCTTAGAGCCTTTGTAGAACAAGATTCCCAGCATTCAGCCAGGGATGACTTGTGGGCCACCAGACCCTGGCCTGGAACTCACTGTGTAGACCAGGCTGGCCTGGAACTTGCATTAGGTTTCTTGTCTTTGCCTCCCCAATGTTGTGATTACAGATGGATTAAAAAATTTTTTTCTTGGTTTTTACAAGAAATTGTATTGTTTTGGAGGCTGTTGGTCCAGCCCGGCCTTGAACTCACAGGGATCCGACTGCCTCTGCCTCCCGAGTGCTGGGATTAAAGGCATGCGCCACCAACACCCGGCCTAACCCTGAGCTTTTAATCACATCCCCTGGAAGACGTTCCAGTTTAGTGAGTGCTATTTGATTTAATCTCCAGATCTGTTGTTACACTTGAGTATGAATTCAACATTAAAACTATAATGAGCCAGGTGGTGGCGCACGCCTTCAATCCTAGCACTAGGGAGGCAGAGGCAGGTGGATCCCTGTGAGTTCAAGGCCAGTCTGGTCTATATAATGAGTCCCAACACAGTCAGAGCTGTTATAGGGGAGAAACCCTGTCTCAAAAAACAGACAAACATGAAGCCTATAATTAAAAATATGTAAAGTGATAGTGTTAGAAATAAGGGTAGCATCTGAGGGACTGGAGAGATTGCTTGGAGGCTAAGAGCTCTTTCAAAGGACCCAGGCTCCATTCCCAGATAACCAACTCAGACGCTGAGTATGAATTATAAACGCTGGGCTGATAGCTTGGGCTTGTTACTAGCTAACTCTTATTTAAATTAACCCATATTTGGCATTTACACTCGGCCATGTGGCAGTACCTTTTCTCAGTCCAGCATGTCCGTTTTGCTCTCTCTGCGTCTGGCTGATGACTTCTTGACTCCCCCGACTCCGCCCATCATTCTCAGATTGGCTCTCCCACCTAACTTTAACCTGTTCAGCTATTGGCCAGTCAGCTTGTTTATAAACCAATCTTAGCTATGTATATTTACACAGTGTACAAAAGGGTTATTCTGTAGCACACAGCTGTCTGTAACTCTGGTTCGGGGGGATCTGATACTTTCTTCTGACCTGGCACAGTACACATACATCCATGCAGGCAAAACACTCATCTGTCTGAGATGTCATTTACTCGGGAGTGCTCTTGGGATGCACACCTGTGGAAAAGAGAAGGGTATGAGGCCTGGCAGAGGGAGAGTTGCCTACTGTACAGGGAGATTTGAAACAGAGTCCCCTTGGGAAGTAAGGACAGGATGATAGACAAGTTCAAGGCCAGTTTGGTTTACAGTGGGATCCTTTCTCAAAACAAAACTCAGCAAAAAAAAGTATCTGTGCTAATTGTCTGATTGAAATCAATACATATAAAGTATTCTGTAGACCCAGCTGAGAGCGTGGGTTGGTAGTAATGCACGGGGCCCTGTCTTTGATCTGCAGCATTGCAGAAACAGAGTACTTTAACCAGTGATGTCAGAGAGTATGGAGAAAAACAGGGCTTTGGAGACTGTCTAGTTCAAATTCTTACATTTCACACAAGGAATGAGACCTCAGGGGTTCTGTGGGTATGTAATTAAAGGAGAGTGAGCATACTTGGATGCAGTAGACATGCTCACACTGTGTGTCTTTCTGCACTTACCTAGGGACTCTGACTTAGAGCTAAAAGTAAACACAGTCTTTGTAAATTTGAACTTTGAAAACACAAAGGTGTGTGTGTGTCTGTAGTATGTGTCTGTGTGTGTCTGTGTCTGTAGTGTGTCTGTGTGTGTTTGTGTCTGTAGTGTGTCTGTGTGTGTTTGTGCTCACGCCCATCCACAGAGTACTCTTGCCACTAGTTTGGGGACTTTCCTGTGAACCCTGTTAATTCCCCTGCTCCTGTGTTATTTAATTAGCTTCTTCATGTCTCTCCCCCAACCCACACTACCTTTTCTGTTCTTTCTCCATTTGGCAATTATGTGACTCTGATGAGGCGATCTGAGCTCAGTTCTAGTCCTTTCGCAGTCTCAACAAGCAGCCAGCTAAGTGTTTTTGTGCACCTGCCTTTACTTGTAGTCTCAGTTCCTCATGTGAAAATCAGGTAATAACTCTTGCTATTACCCTGCTTGTTTCAAGAATCAAACAATGTACCATCTCTGAAAACACTTTTAGAAACAGCTAATGTTCTACAAATGTCAAGTAGTGGTTTTATCCCCACTGCCCACCCTTCCTTCCCCTGCCTGACTTGCCTCTAGCTCACTGGCTTCCTTCCAGGATTGTTTGGACAAGTGGCTGCAGTGTTTTGTGGAGTTTTCTCTGAATCATGAAATGGCATTCTGCAAGTTCCCTTTTGACCAGTAGGAGTAGGAATGTAATTAGGAGTATTGGGAGCCATATAGGAAACCACTAAAAATAAAGTTGTATTTGAAAGGGATGTTTCACTTCCATTGATAGTAGTACTGTCCTGCCCAACGTTGTAACAGAACACATAGTTTGGACACTGGCCAGTGAAGCGTGATTCTAAGCCCCGCCCCTGTTCTCCAGACAAGCTTTATTTGCCAGAACCCAAAGAAAATATCCCAACAAGCCTGCTTGACTCTCCGTTCACCTTGCACCCTCGTCTCCCAGCTCTGGTCTTCCTTCTCTCTGCAGCTCTGTCTTCTGATGGGAACCCTGTCTTTCTCTTCCCAGGCTCTTTGGTACAAGGCAAGGGTTCAGTGTACACTTCTCAAACAGACGTCCAAGTTCCCGAGAATAACCGTGAGTGGGGCAGAGCTGTGGAGGGCATCAGGGTGGGGGCTGGGAGGCCATGGCTTGTGGTTTGGGGCTGCCTCCCTCCCTCCCTCCCTCCCTCCCTCCCTCCCTCTCTCTCTCTCTCTCTCTCTTTCACTCTCTCTCTCTCTCACTTTGATCCTGTCTGCAGCCATCAAGTTGTCCTGTACCTACTCTGGCTTCTCTAATCCCCGAGTGGAATGGAAGTTCGTCCAGGGTGGCACTACCACGCTTGTTTGCTATAACAGCCAGATCACGGGTAAGTTGTCTTAATTGTGAAGACTGTGGAGTCATTGACACTGCCCCGCCTGGACTCCTGGAGCTCAGGGCTCTCAGTATTTCCTTCCCTTTAGTGGAGGGTGGAGGATGCACCCTGGGTGTCGCCTTCATCTGCTCTTTGCTGCCCGGTTTACTTTGTCTCCTCTCCCATCTCCTGGTAGCGCCCTATGCAGACCGTGTTACCTTCTCATCCAGTGGCATCACATTCAAGTCTGTGACCCGGAAAGACACTGGAGAATATACTTGTATGGTTTCTGAGGACGGTGGCCAGAACTATGGGGAGGTCAGCATCCAGCTCACCGTGCTTGGTATGTGCCGTGTAACCTCGTGTAGGCTTAAAACCTGATAGTAGACTGCTACGCTTTAGGCCTTGCGGTGCTGAGGATATAGAGGGGGTAATCACACACACACACACACACACACACACACACACACACACACACACACACACCCGCCCCCTTTGATGGGAACTAAGGGCATACGGGTGGCACTTGTAGCTGATTGGTTGAGAGAGGCATCCTAGTTTGTTACCTGCACTCATGTAACCCTTTTGCCCTTGTATTCAGCACCTTTTTCTTGTCCCCTCCCTAGTGCCTCCATCCAAGCCGACGGTCAATATCCCCTCCTCGCTCACCATTGGGAACAGGGCAGTGCTGACCTGCTCCGAACAAGATGGCTCCCCGCCCTCTGAGTATTCCTGGTTCAGGGATGGGATAGATATGCTTACGGACTCCAAGAAAACCCGTGCCTTCATCAATTCTTCATACACGGTTGATCCAAAGTCGGGGGACCTGGTACGAAATGGGAGAGGTGAAAGGTGGAGGGGGGGCAGCCATAGATCCCCGAACATCAGGGCTAACAGCGTCAGAACTACAGGATAGGTGCTCGACTCAGTTCGAGCAAGAGGCCAACTTATTCTCTTCCCTCTACTAGATCTTTGATCCTGTAACAGCCTTTGACAGTGGCGAATACTACTGTCAAGCCCAGAATGGGTTTGGGACAGCCACGAGGTCGGAGGCTGTGCGCATGGATGCTGGTGAGTAAGAGTGTGGCCGCAGCCTGAGATCAGAGCTGGGGTGTGATCAGAGGCTTTTTTTTTTTTTTTTTTGAGACGGGGTTTTTCTGTGACTTTGGAGGCTGTCCTGGTACTAGTTCTTGTAGACCAGGCTGGTCTCAAACACACAGAGATCTGCCTGCCTCTGCTTCCCAAGCCCTGGGATTAAAGGTGTGCGCCACAAACGCCTGGCTCCCAGAGGCTGAGTTTTCAAGTGGTTATCGATAGCATTGTCAGCAGCACCGTTGCGTATCGATACACCTGACCTCTCGTTTGTGTCTCAACAGTGGAGCTGAATGTGGGGGGCATCGTGGCAGCTGTCCTGGTAACACTGATTCTCCTTGGACTTCTGGTTTTTGGCGTCTGGTTCGCCTATAGCCGAGGATACTTTGAAAGTAAGTATTTCCACCTTAGAAGCTTGTTTGTTTGTGATAGCCCAGGCTGACCTGAAGCTTTGCCCTCCAACTCGCCTTGATCCTCCTGTCTCAACCTTTTAAGTGCTGAACACAGGAGCAAGTGCTACTTGCTGTACCCAGCCGGAAGTTCTTTGTCCTTGCATAGTTTGTGGGTGCCGTCTGAGTATGGACCCTGATACCACGCATGCTCCATGTGCTGGCGCCATCTTCCCAGGGAGCATGGATGGCTTGATATAGCTCATGTCAAAAACCACATACTCCTTGCCCCTAGTTCCCATGCCACGCTACATTCTATTCTGATAGTAATCATGGTCTCTTTCTTTCTCTTGCTTTTCTTTTTCAGGAACAAAGAAAGGGTGAGCGCGATGCCGTCCCGGGGTTCTCATAAAAGCATGGATGTGTGTGGTTTGGAGCTGAGCTGAGCCCTGGGTGTGGCGTGCAAGCAGTGGTGTTGGAGGGAATGATAACTTCACCTTGCACTCAGTTTGTCTGCAAAGTTTTACATTCTGGTCCCTTATATGGGCAAGGATACATTAATTTCCAGGGCCTGAGTGTCTCCCATTTCTGGTTTTCCCTCAGGACTGCACCAGGTAAAAAGGTGATTTACAGCCAGCCAAGTGCTCGAAGTGAGGTGAGTGCGCCTCCCCTGAGGAGGGGGAGCCTTCCATATCAAGTAGAAGTTTCTAGCCAGTTTGCATGTTGATGGCAAAATGAGACTGGAGTTGACTGGATGTTTTGTTTCCCTAGGGGGAGTTCAAACAGACCTCATCATTCCTGGTGTGACCTGCTGGGGCTCATCTCTGCTCCTCTTGCCTTACTTGGGTGCTACAGGTTCCAGCCCCTGCTGGCTGTAGCTGCACAGGATGCCTTCAAAGTCTTCTAGGTCCCACAGGACCCCTTTTATTTTAGCTAGGATGTGATTTCAATACCAGCTATTTTTTCCTTCCTTTTTCCTGCCTACCACCACTGGGTGGCTTGAGACTAGTTACAAAGTTTCATTCCCTGTGGGATTGGACGAGAGTCCTAGACTAGACAGCAGAAATGACTGCACTGAATAAGGACTTTAAGCCTAATTCCCCAGCTTTCTCCGCCCCTGGTGAGGATGGGTGCCAGCTTCTCTAGAGTGGGGACTGGAGAAAGGAGGGGCTGAATTGTTTGGTGACCTCAGCTCTTCAGTCTCTGGAGCCTTTTGTCCCCACAAAATGTGCCACTGGGATTCTCCTGGATACAAGCAAATTGACACCGCATCCTCACGAGGTGGGAGAGTTTAGTATCAACCAAGACACTTGGAGTAAGAAAGATTTAAACTACTGATCTAAAGAAAAGGTTGGGACTGGTGGCTGGCAATCACTCTTCCCTTCACTGGAACAACTGCACAAGACCCTTGTAAGATGTGTATGGGTTGTGGAGATGTGTGTATTATAGTCTTGGCTCTGTGGTGGACTGTGTGTGTGTGTGTGTGTGTGTGTGTGTGTGTGTGTGTGTGTGTGTGTGTGTGTGAGAGAGAGAGAGAGAGAGAGGAGAGAGAGAGAATGAGAACTAAGGGCTTCCCAGCTCTTGTGGCAAGATTGTATTTCTGTGTGTTTATATTAGATGTTGTTGGAAATAAAAATTTGGTTTGTGAAACTTGTTTCTGTTGGAAATTGGGGACAGATCTTTAAGGGACTCGGGGCTCCTTTGTATAAACAGGAAAATGTCGGGAACTTCTGTTTCCCTGCTGGCCCCCAGGAGTATTTTCTTAGCTCAAGGTGACACTTGTGAAATCAGAAGTGAGTGAACAGCCTCCTCCTGCTAGGGTGAAGCTGGTGCTGTGCTGGGAGAAGTGGGTGGGCTACTCCACCATTTAGTCAAGTGGGGGGACAAAGTGCCCATCTATTGTTCCCCCCCATGGATAATGGACACCCCTCAGGCTTCTAAGGGGGGTCCCCCTGGTCATTTGAAGAACTACTTTAAATGTTTGAGACAGCAGGAATTAGCAAGATGAGTCTGGTGGTCATTGCTTTTCTTTCATTTGGGCCACTTTCAGCCTTTGGAAACCAAGCACTCACCTAAGGGTCTTGCACCAATAAAGAGTTTTCTGAAGGAAATAAAATCCAATTGATCGCCGGCCGGTAGTGGCGCACGCCTTTAATCCCAGCACTCGGGAGGCAGAGGCAGGCGGATCTCTGTGAGTTTGAGGCCAGGCTGGACCGACAGCCTCCAAAACAATACAGAGAAACCCTGTCTCGTAAAACCAAAAAAAAAAAAATCCAATTGATCAATAACAGCAAAACTTGAACCAACTCAGTAAGGATAAGACCTTTTCAGGTATGTTTCAGTTTGTTGTCATGGTTGGAGGTGGGATGGCGGGAGGGTAAGAATAGATTAAAGGACCCGAGGTGATTCGTTGCCACTTCACCCCTTGAGGGGCTTTGGATCAGTTAACACTCTTGGAGTTCACTTCGCCTGGTTACAACATCCCTTGGAAACGCCATGTCTGCTTTCATTTTACAGTGTCAAAACTTAATTTTTGTAATAAATGTTTATTTTCACATTGATTTTGTTTAAATCCTGAAGTTCTACAGTACAAGAATTGGGACTCCTGGACTGGAGCTACAGCTAAGTTACTAAAGGGCTTGCCTAGCATGCCTGAAGCCCTGGGTTGGATCCTTAGCACTGCATAAAATCAGGTGTGGTCCCAGCCTTTTAGAGGTAGAGGCTCAAGGTCATCCTTAGCTAAACAGCAAGTTTGAAGTCAGCCTGGGCTACTTGAGACATTTTCTCAAAACAAAACAGCCTAAAAAATGAAAGGTGAAATTAGGTGAAAAAAAAATTGGGGTGGGAGATGGGGATCAGTGGGTTAAGACTGCTGACTGGGCAAACACAAGGATCTAATCTAAGTTTGAATCCTGAGTCCACACAAGAAGCCAGATGTTCCTGGGCGGTGGTGGCGCATGCCTTTAATCCCAGTACTTGGGAGGCAGAGGTAGGTAGATCTTTGTGAGTTGGAGACCAGCCTGGTCTACAAGAGCTAGTTCCAGGACAGCCTCCAAAGCCACAGAGAAACCCTACCTCCAAAAACCAAAAAAAAAAAAGAGTTTGACAGGGGAAGATGCCCAGTGTCCTCTGGCCTATGGGGTGGGCATGGGTGTGGCGTCCGTGCCACCAGCAAGTCCGAGATATCGGGAAATGATAGCCAAGACGTCCGGTTGTTTGTACTAAGAGAATGTGTCTGCTGCCTTTATTGCCAGGAGAATGCGTGTGTATATGTGCCACATCTGTGTGTCTGCCTGTGTGTGTGCTGTGAGGAATGAGCAGCCTTTTATACAGATTTACAGCACAGTGGAGAAACCCCAGGTGTAAGAGCTCATGTTTTCCTCATACTAGATATTGATGTCAGGTGGGCTGTAAGCCAGGACTAGAGAACAGGATGCAACTGTAGTTATCAGCTGACAAGCAGTGCACAGAAATCCGTGTGTACTGGGACCCAACACATGTATGCACTGACCCCCCCCACATATACTCGTCCCTACCTACAGAAAACAAAAGCGGTTAGATAGATGGCTCAAAACACTCATACTGTGAGTTCCAGATCAGCCTGGTCTACAGAGCAACAGGGCTACACAGAGAAACCCTGTCTTAAAAAAACAAGAAAAAGAGACTTGCTATCTTGCTGTGTAGTTCGGCGGTGATTGCTGGTGTGGACCGCCACACCTGGAGAGCTTCTCGTTTGATTAGACCCATTAAGTAGGAATAAGGACCTTAGGCACCCTGGAATAAGACCCAGTGTAGAAACGAGAACTATCGAGGAGAGAGACACCGGTTCACCTGCCTTAATCCACAGTCTGTTAGTCAGCAAATGTCTTTCCCTCCTTGCCAACAATGTGTGGAATGTACTTGGTTCTTTATCTCAAGAGGAAAAAACCCAAGGACAAAATGTCTCCATGGTATTTGCAAGGATCTTTATCTTACATGGGGAAGTCAAATTAAACCATAAATAGAGGTTTTGCTTATTTTTATTTCTTTTTGAGGCAGGGTCTCACTGTGTACTTCTGGCTGTCCTAGAACTCACAGATACCTGCCTCCCTAGTGTTAGGATTAAAGATGTGCTTCATAAATAGAATTTTTGTTTTGGTTTGTTTTTCTGAGCCAGTATCGTTCACTTGCCTGGGACTGCTCGGATAGTAGGTATTACCACCACACCCAGCTAAGTATTAAAAATACCATCCTTATGACTAACAAAAACTTCCAGACCTCAGACCACTCCACCAACCTATAAAGTACTGTTCGTTTCTGTCCGCGGTCTGAATCTTTTGCAAGCAGCCCCATCCCCTCTTCTTTTTTTTCTCCCTTCCAATTAGAGCTTTGTGTGGACGCTTATACTCTGTTTCAGTTTGTATTTCCATAGTCATTGAAATAAAAGTGTCTGTGTGTCTGATGTTACTTTTCGTTTGCTTGTTTGGATAGGGTCTCGTGTGTCCCAGGCTAGCTTCCAACTCTAGAAGGCTGGCTTCTACCTGCTTGCTCTTATGCCATCTTCTGAGTGCTGGGATGGCAAGAATGTGCCACTACGCTGGATGCATGACGCAGTGCTGGGGACCCAAGCAAGGTTTTCAGACATGCTAGGCAAGTCCCCACCCCAGATACGACTTTTAATGCCAATGATGCTTCATTGTTTGGAATGCCTAGTTATTTGCAATTTCTTCAAATTGGGGATGCTGTACACATTACAATACGAGGGGAAAGATATGTTTTAATGCGGGGATCATTTATTTGCCCTTTGTTGAGGGAAAAGGGAGTAAGAAATGAAGTACTTAAATGCAAATGCCCAATAGCTTGTGAAAAGGAGGGCTTTCCTGCAACGAAAGTGTTGCCTCTAGGGGGCGCCAGACCGCTCTGGTGTAGCACTTCCAACTGTGACGTTAGTTACCTGCAGGATTTGCTGGGGCTAAGTTAGCATGAAGAATTAAAAATAGCCTGGCCTATCTGATTGGCAGGGACCCAGGAGCTTGACAGCAGACTCAATTGGCACGGTTATGAAAAACAAGCACTCACATAGAGTTTTGGAAGGAACACAAAAATGTATAACTCTGGATCAGAACAGTTTTGCAATATCTTAGCTAATCTACATATGCATTCAGCCTATGACTGGCAGCCCTGAAGATATATCTCTAACAATATGAATACGTGTATTCACAAAAGTATTTGATTGCAGCATAATTGCACATTCTTGAAACTAATCTAAAACGTTCAATACACAGAATATTGGTTTAATAAACCACCAGGAATGAAATACAACAACTGTAAAAAAAGACAGGGAAAAATCTCTACAATCAAGCCGGGCGTTGGTGGCACACGCCTTTAATCCCAGCACTCGGGAGGCAGAGGCAGGCGGATCTCTGTGAGTTCGAGACCAGCCTGGACTACCAAGCGAGCTCCAGGACAGCCTCCAAAGCCACAGAGAAACCCTGTCTCGAAAAACAAAACAAAACAAAAAAAATCTCTACAAATAAATTAGAAATGTTTGCTCTTGCCCCGCCCCTCCCCTCCCCCACCTCCTTTCTCTCTTTCTTTCTTTCCTTCCTTCTTTCTTTCTTTTCTTTTCTTTTTTTCCAGACAGGGTTTCTCTGTGGCTTTGGAGGCTGTCCTGGAACTAGCTAGCTCTTGTATACCAGGCTGGCCTCGAACTCACAGAGATCCGCCTGCCTCTACCTCCCCAGTGCTGGGATTAAAGGCGTTCGCCACCACCACCGGGTCTACCTCTTTTCTTTTAGTTTACTTTTTTTCTTGAGAGTGTCTCAACTCTGTTAACTCAGGCCTGGGGTCTGGATCCAACAAGCTGCTCCTTCAAGACTCCTCAGAGATCGACTCATGGGACAGCCTGTCCTGAGGGAGCCAGCCTCCAGGACCCAACTGACCACACGCAGGGCGACTCATTCCCGCCTTAGTTAACGGAACCTTCGAGACCTGCTGAAAACATGGCACCTTTGCTACTGCTCCTTCCGTCAGTGACCCACAGACTTGCTCTGCCATGTACGGCAGGTGGCTGGCACTCCAAGAGTCCCCCAGGAGCTCTCCAACAGGAACGCTGGCCATCTCTCTGTTGGCGCCTCTCAGCGAGGCACCCCAAAGCTTGCTTGAGGACTTAGAACTGGGGCACTACCAACCTCTTTTGGCTGGCACGAGTGAGGGTTGCCGAGTTCTTACTTTCCAACTCAAATTGCTTTTGTCTAGTGGCAAATGGTTGCCCTTGTTACCTCTCAGCTGTCTGCCCTTTCCGTGTGAGGGAGATGAGAACCTGATCCGAGATGGGACACGGGCTCCACGCGCTGAGTGCATCGGCGGCACTAGAGGGAGAGGCTGGTCCGGGAGCATTATCGGTCCTCATGAACCATGGAGTCTTGCCTGGATTCCATCTCTTGATGTGCATTCCATATCACAGGAGTAAGAAAAGATCACTTAAGCTTATAAATGGAAAAACGGATTCCCTTGTGGCTTCCTACTAAGCTATTAGCATAGTTGAAAGTAATTTAAGATTCATCCTTCCTCAAAATCCACAGTTTGGGCTGGAGAGATTGCTCAGAGGTTAAGATCACTGGCTGTTCTTCAGAAGTCCTGAGTTCAATTTCCAGCAACCACATGATGGC